CAAGACCAGCCTGGCCAAGATGATGAAACCCCATCTCTACTAAAAATACAAAAAAATTAGCTGGATGTGGTGGTGGGCGCTTGTAATCCCAGCTACTCGGGAGGCTGTGGCAGAGAATTGCTTGAACCCACAAGGTGGAGGTTGCAGTGAGCCAAGATCATGCCACTGCACTCCAGCCTGGGTGACAGAGCGAGACTCTGTCTGGAAAAGAAAAAAAAAGAAAAAGAAAAAAGAAAAGAAAAGAAATTAATCAAGTATTTCTAACTATTTTATTTGATTCCTCTGTTACCTTTCTTATCTATTTTTCTTTGCATTTTAGGGGTTGTCCCAGGTATTATAACATGTGTCTTAACTTACCACAATGTACTTACAGTTAATATTATACTTTACATAAAATGTAGGAATCTTGCAGCAGGAATAATTCCACTTAAATTTACCCCCATACTTTGCTCTGCTTTTTTCATGTATATTAACTTACATAGGTTATAAACCCCTCGCTACAGTGTTACAATTTTTTCTTTAAACAGCCATATGTCTTTTAAAGATTTACGATAAGAAAATATGATATGTGTGTCATATTTTATATTTACCCACATATTTATCATGTCTGATGGACTTTATTTTTCCGGCAAATCTGAGCTACCATCTGGTGCCATTTCCCTTCAGCCTGAAAAACTTCCTTTAACATTTTTTGTAGTGTAGTTGTGCTTCTAATGAATTCTCTTCATTTTTATCTTAAAATGTATTTACTTTGTCTTCATGTTTAAAAACATTTTGCTGAATATAGAATTCTGGCTTGGCAGGGTTTTGTTTTGCTTTTTCCTTTCAGCATTTTAAAGATGCTGCTCCACTGTGTTGAGAAGCTGGTCATGATCTGTAACATCATTCTTCTCTGGATGCTTTCAATGTATTATCTTTATCTTTGGATGTCAGCAGCTTGAACATCAGGTGCCTAGGTATGGTTTTCTATGTACTTACCTTGCCTGGGGTTCACTGAGTTTCTTTAATTGCTAAATTAATGTCCTTCACCTAATTTATGAAGTTTGGGTCATTATTTCTTTAAACATTTGTCTTACTCCTTCTGTTTCTCCTCCTTTCCTTCTTTAACTCCAGTGACATTCATCTCAGACTGCTTGATATCCCACAGACCTTTGAAGTGCTCTTCATTATTCTTTAAAATTTTTTTGTTTGTCCTTGGGATAGGATTATTTTTATTGGTCTAGCTACAAGTTCACTAACTCTTTTTCCTGCCACCTCCAATCTGATGTTAAACCCATCAAGTAAATTTTTTATTTTTTTGTGCGGTCATTTTTGATTCTAGAATTTCCATTTGGTTCTTTTATTATAGGATTTATTTTTCTGCTGATATTTGCCATCTGTTCATTCATAATCCATATACTTTTTTACATTCTCAAATATTTATAAGAGCTGCTTTAAAATCTTTGCTAATTGCAACAGCTGGATCATCTCAGGGTTGGGGTCAATTGAATGCTTTTTAGTTGAATATGGGCCATGTTCTGTTTCTTTGCTTGTCTGTGAGTTCTGATTAGATACTGGACATTATGAATGATATGTACTAGAGACTCCAGATTCTGTCATATTTCTTTGAAGGTAATTTTTTCTTTTTTTAACTTTTATTTTAGGTACATGTGAAGATTTGTTACATAGGTAAACACGCATCATGGGGGTTTGTTGTACATATTATTTCATAACCCAGGTATTAAGTACAGTACCCAATAGTTATCTTTTCTGATCCCTTCCTCTTCCCACCCTTCCTCCCAGGTAGACCCCAGTGTCTGTTCTTTCCTTCTTTGTGTTAACAAATTCTCATCATTTAGTTCCCACTTAGAAGTCAGAACATGCAGTATTTGGTTTCCTGTTCCTGCATTAGTTTGCGAAGGAAAATAGCCTTCCGCTCCATCCATGTTCCCACAAAAGACATGATCTTGTTATTTTTTATGACTGCATAGTATTCCATGGTGTATATGTACCACATTTTCTTTGTCCAATCTGTCATTGATGGGCATTTAGGTTGATTCCATGTCTGTGCTATTGTGAATAGTGCTGCAATTAACATTCATGTGCATGTGTCTTTACGGTAGAATGATTTATATTTCCCTGGGTATATACTCAGTAATGGAATTGCTGGGTCAAATGATAGTTCTGCTTTTAGCTAGAAGAGTAATTTCTAATGCTGCTGTTAGTTAACTTTTCTAGACTCAGACTCCAAACTCTCTCTCCTGTGGTGGGCAACATCTGAAACCTTTGCTCAGTTCCTTCAGCTTCTAGCTGCTGCTTTTTTGCCAAGCTGCCTGGGGTCTCCCTCATGCTTGACAGGTTAGTTTAATAGCTTAGCAATCAACCAAGGATTTGAGCAATTTTACATTAGATTTCAGGGTTCATGCCCTCTGCAGTTCCCTCCCTTTCAGCATTCCCAATTTTCTGATTGCTCTGCCTGATACCTCAAACTAGTAAGTCTGCAGCTTCTGCCACTGAACCCGCCCATGTGGTGTGCCCTCAGAAAAAGGCTGCAAACTCCTAAGTCTCACTCTTTGCAGTTCATTTTTTCATGGGCGGACATCCCTTCAGTTTCTGCCTGCATTTAATCATTCTCCAATGTCTTCAGACAAATGGGTTTTAAAAAATATTTTGTCTAGATTTTACAATTGTTATCTGCTGGTGGTGGCTGCTTAGGGAGAGGAGAAGGAAGGAGGAAGGGTTAGTACAAAAAATCTATTCTTCCATTACTGAAAGCCAGAACTTTATTGTCCCTTTTACACAGTAGGAAACTGAGGCCCAGAGAACCAGCGTGACTGACCCAAAGTCTTGTGGCTAATAATCAACTTTAGTATCCAAGTCTTGCTATCATTGATTGATGGAGGCAGGTGATCCTCTGATTTTTTCTATCTTGAAATGCCTCCATCTTCCTCTCTCTTCTCACCCCTCAAACAGATTTACCCTGGATCTTGTGTGAAGTGTGAACACTTTTCTAACTGTCCATTCACAAACTGCACTGGCCGTTTTCTCCAGTTGCCAGTACAACTGATGGGGCATGATGGTGGCTGTTGGCCACACAGATGCTGAGTAAGACCCATGGTAGGAATAGTGATGCCACCAGTAGCACCCTGGCCATAGTGGGCAGTTGATTACCAATTGTACTGGGAAGGCAGAGGGAGGTACTGTAAACAGGATCTTGGGCCATGAGTGTTGAGTTTTTTCCTGAATCTGCTGCATAATCATTAGGAGACCCGATACAATTCTAATTATCACTCTAAACGTCAGTTTCTTAGGTGTGTAGTTGAATGGTAATTCACAGTAGTATGGTATTGTTCTGAAGATCAAACAGAAGAGTATACATGCTTTGTAAACTAAAGTTCACAAATATGAGTCCTCCCAGTTGTTATCAGTGCCTGGTGAGGATGGCGGATGGTGAACCTGGCCACATAGGCACAGCAGTTATTGCCAGCAACTGGGGCAGAGGGAAGCCTCCGGAGTAATTCTCCAAGAGTTAAACTGGGTAGTCAAACCCACACAGGAAGGGTATAGAGGTGGCCCAAGAGACTATTCATAAATTTGAAGCTGAAAAGATGTGGAAACGTCCAAGTTTAGTCACAGCGACGAGGGTGTACACAGAGAGGCAGGACTGGTCTGTGATCGTAACTGGAAATAAGAAGGCCAAGCGTTTGAGCCCTGTTTGGAGAAGGACTGTGGTCATCAAAAAGTGATTTCGGGCAGAAAGCCAGACAAAGAGAGGGACTGTTTCCATGCGATCCCGCAGTTCCTGGGGGAGCCCTACCGCATATCTGGTAAACAGGGACACTTTAGGCACCAGCGAGGCATGTTCTGTTGGAGGACAGGGAACTTCAGGGGGCCTCTCCAGTGACTTCCGGTGACACTTCACAAGGATGGATGAACCGTCATTTGTTCTGAATCCAAGCCCACTGAGGTGCCTGGAGACCTAGTCAGCATCCCAGAGAAGCACCATGTTTGGCAGACCCGCATACTGGACACTCTTTCCATTCATCACAGTCACAGCTAACATGCTTGGCACAGGCACCGTTCTAGCACGTGTGTGTGTCTGCCAAATATTTGTGAGGTTGTCTCGCAACAGCTCTGTGAGAACCTTACATACTACATTGACGTTAGGCTTTCTTTTTCAGTCTCCTGGAAGTTTGTTTATCAGGAATCAGTTCCCCGAAGACAGACTGCCTCTGATTCTACAGACAGAAGCAAGCTTCGGGGTGTGAAATCAATGAACGAACTACGGATTGTGGCGTCCCCAGCCCCCACATGCACACTTTCGGGGGCTACTCCCTTTTGAGGGGAGGCACCCGACTGGACGTCTCTACATTGGCTGTGGACATAGTGGTACTGGTGATGGTCACAGCTTACCCATGATGTGGCACATCTGGTGGGAGCCTCAGGCTGGGAACACCCTGGGGTGGGGAAGGGATCTCTGAGAAGGGAGAGGGTCTGCAAGCCAACAAGTGATGGCCTGGGGCGGCTTCAGGAGTAGGGAGGGGCTGGACCGATGCCCGAATCCCACATATGTGTGTAACGCTTTGGAGTTCGCACTTGTGCGACCATGTTTCACCATCGCCTCCTGGACTTCTCAGCAGTCTCCTGACTGCTCTCCGTAGGGCAACTCCAGCTCACTCCCAAGTCACCCGCCACCCAGCAGCCAGAGGGATCTTTCCGAACATAAATTCCCTCTCGCCACCACCTCCCTCCTTCACACCGTGCCCAACCTAAGTCCCTTCAGGAGAGAGACTCAGGCCTGGAGAGAGACGCTCCAAAGCCCTGCAAAGTCTGGCCCCGCCGCGGCACCCTCAGAGCCCAGCGTGTAGAGGGCGCTTAGTGCGTGAGCGACGGTCGTTCCCCGCAACTCAGCCAAGCGGCATCCGCACACGCCCCTAGCCTAGGAAGCGCATCAGGTGAGCCCGCTCAAGCTGAAACGCTGCACAAGCTATGTCGTCCTCTCCGCCGCGAATGCGGGCAGGATGCTAGCGAAAGACCTGGCAAAGGGGGCGCCGAGGGGGCGCAGTCGGGGCGCTGAGCGGGCGAGGAGGGGACAGGGAGAGGGACGCGGAAGGTACGCGGTCGGGGCGCGGAGTGGGACACGGGGAGCTACCCCAGAGGCGTGTGGACAGGGCGCGGTCGAGGCGCGGAGCCGGAGCGCGCCCCCAGTGTGGCCAGGCCGGTAGGCGCGACGGCCGGGGCCCTGGGGGCGGTGGGAAGCGCGCGGCGCCCGGGCTCTCAGCGTTCCCTGGCCTGCCCCGGCTCGCTCGGCTTTGATGACTGCTTCCGCTCCCCATAAAGGCCTGTTTCATGGCCAACGCCAGCATGGGCTTTACGTCTGCCCTCGGGCTCCCTGCGGGCGGCAGAGGGCCGTGGTGAAACTCCCCGTCCGGCCAGGCCGTTCTGGCTCTAAAGGGAGGTCCAGGGAGTGCGTGCGGGCGGCGTGCTCAGTGCTGGGCTTTGTGCCGAGCCCTGTTCTTTGCATATCCCGGTTTCTGTCCCTGGGTGCGTTTCCCTGGCCCTGGCCCTGGCCACTTCCCCTCTTTGAGCGTGGGCACTGTGTTTATTAGTTCATTTCCCATCCCCACACCAAGCACTGCCTGGCACAGAGCAGGCACTCAGCAAAGGCTTGCGGGATGTGCAGACCAGACCGTTTAATGCTCGCAGGTGCCCTCTGCGGTAGGCATTACTATTTCCAGCATCCTCACGAGGGATCTGGAATCCGCGGGCGTCCCCTGCCCAGGGTCATGCAGCCTGTGGAAGGCAGCAGGGGCCGGGGTGCCGAATGGATCGAATGAGCTTCTCGGGGGATTCCCTGAGCTTGGTGAACGAAGAACCCACCCTGATGGTCAGGCCTAACCCCACTGCCAATAGCAGAGCAGCACTAGGCGGAAATGGGCTGCCTGTGCCTGGCACCGGGAGCGGCAGAGGCGGCCACCCCTGTGGAGGTAGCGCCCGCAGTGCCGAGCTCCTGTGCCTGGGAGGACGCGGGCACTGGGCGACCTGCAGTCGGGCAGAGCTCCCTGGCTTTCTCACAGCGCGGCTCGCAGGAAACAACGCTGTCCCATGGCACAGTGAAGTAAGGAAGGCTATGGCTGCTCTCAGCCAGAGGCGGGTCTGGGGGATGGGGGCCACAGATGCCCCGGGAGCCCCTGGACCCTCTGGAGGGTCGGGCGGGGAAGGGGAGATTTCTGTCTTGACCACACACTTGTAACCCATTCTTGGCACACTGGGGTACCTTGCCCGCAGGTAGTGCTCTGTTCTCGGGGAGAGGGCACAACCTCTAACCCTCTGACCGAGGCTCTCTGCCTCTCACAAGGAGCCCCCAACACACTGGTTTTCCTCACAGCCTGCTCCAACTGCTCATAGGAACCTGGAGCCCCCTTCCCTGCCCCAACTGTCCCTCCGTGGACCCCATTACTCTACTTTCTGTCGAACCCAACTCCCCTATCCTTTATGCAGGCTGTCGGGGGCAATGGTGGTTAGCATAGGCTATGGAGTCAGATGGCCTGGGTTCAAATCCTGGCTCTGCCATGTTCTGAGTGTGTGACCTTGGGCCAGTTTCTTTACTTTCTGCCTCAGTTTTCTCATCTGTAAAATTGAAAGAATGGTGGCATCTATCTCATAGGGCGGCTGTGGGGGTTATAGCAGGCAGACTGCCACAGGCACAATGAATGTCAGCTCTTGTTGCCAACCTCCCCCACACAACACACAGCTTAGTAACTTTACCCTCACCCAACACATAACACCTAGCTTGTCCCTCATAATGAGCTCTCAGCCTAAATCAGTGCCTTCAGCAAACCTGTGGCTCAGGGCAGGTGGTAAGGTAGACAAGAGCCTGGGGAAGACTCTCTGACTCCACAGAGGCAGTGCTGTCTGCAGCTGGGATTTGGCCCAGACGTTTAAGAGCCGAGGACTAAGCAATGCCTGCATTGCCTGCTATGTGCATATGTCCAGCACATAGGACATATGTGCTGTCAGGCCACTGGCCAGTGGGCACCATCCTCTGAGCTGGTCATACGAACACCCTAGGAAAGAGTGCACCCCGTCCTTCATGTTCTATCACTGCTCGGCCTAGCTAGGCCAGGCGCAAGGGTACCCAAACCCCACCCTGGAGATGGTGGTTGGAGCAGTGTTTGAGGTCACAGATGGAGGAATGCGACCTCCAGCCCAGTTTCGACTCTGCTCTTTGTCAGTTCAGTCTTGCCCAAGTCACTTGGGTTCTCCAAGCCTATGATCTCCTCTTTAAAACGGAAGGGAGAGCTGAGCATGGCGGTTCATGACTGTAATCCCAGTGCTTTGGGAGGCTGAGACGGGAGGATCGCTTGAGGCCAGGAGTTCAAGACCAGCCTGAGTAACATGATGAGACCCCCATCTCTCCAAAAAAAAAAAAAAAAAAAGAAAAGAAAAGAAAAAACTTTCGTTGTTTTGTTTTTTACTTTTGTTTTTAATGAGCAGGGCATGGTGGTGTGTTCCTGTAGTCACGGCTACTCAGGAGGTTGAGGCGGGAGGATCAGTTGAACCCAGGAGTTCAAGACCAGCCTGGGCAACACAGCGGACCCTATCTCTATAAAAATAAATTAAACAAAATGGAAGGGAAACAGTCCATCTCTATGCCAGGTGCTTGGTCATGGGGGAAGGAAGGGGAAGAGGCAGAGAAGGAAGCAGGAGAGGCAGCACCAACACCTCTTCCCACCTGTGGGAGGTCCTGCTCTCTCATTGGCTGGAGCTGGGCTTGCCAGAAAGTCCGATGTGGCCAGTCATCTCTCTCTTGCCCCACCTGAGGTGAGCTGTAACTGTACCTTCTCTATCTCAGAAATAAATGTGGCCTTTGGGTGGGGACACTCAACAGTCAACTCCCCTGCTTCCCATGAGGCAGCGGTGCAGAAACCGCGATTCAATCCCTGCTGCACCAGTCCCTTACTAACTAGGTGACACTGGACAAGATGTAGCCTCTCTAGCAGTGGCCAACTTTGTTTGGCTCTTATTACATGCCAGGCCCTTGGGCAAGCACTTGCCCCCATCCCTGCAACAACCCTACGAAGTAGCCCATCTCACAGGCAAGAAAACGGAGGTTCCAAGAGGTCATGAATGGAAGTTGCCACAATCACACAGCTGGCAAGTGGGAGAGCTAGAAGGTAGATGGTGGCGGAGTCTGGGCATTGGCATGTCACCCTCCCAGAGCACTGGGATGGGGAAAGGAGGCCTCTGTGGAAAGTCTGTGTCCTACACAGGTGGGAACTCAACGCTGGTTCTGGGTTTTTTGCCGCATCCCCTGTCGCGGGAAACCAAACTGTGGTTCCTCGATCTCACCACAGGGTGTCTCCACGCCACTGCTGAACCACCCGAGGCCCATGCTACCTTTGGCGCAGCCCTTCCTCCTGTGGGACTGGCTGCAGCCCTCCTGCTCCTGTGTGGCCTGTCTGTGCCTGTCTTTTCTTCAGCGGGGACAGGCTCTGACTCCTCTGGGAAGCGTGAGGGCTGTCACTGACCCACAGCCCCTGCCTTGTGGGGTTCGGCGGAGTGGCGTGGAACAGAAGTGCTGCTTTTCATGTGGCCTCCTATCAGCCTCCCCCAAGTTCCCCCACACTGTCCTGTGTCAGGAGTCACAGTCAGCACCTCAGTCTCCAGGAGTCACGGTGACAGAGCTGTGGGGAGATCCCATGCCCTCCCATGGGGGACCTTGACCTGCCTGGAGAAGGGGGCTCGTGCCACCTGCATGGGGCCCCTCCCGAATCTGACTTGGTAACTGCCGACCTCTGTGTCGCTTCCTCTTCTCCGCAGCCCATGCTGCCGTGAACGTCCCCCTGTTGTTAGAAGGGGGTTAATTACCTCCTTTTGGGAGCTTCAATGAGACCATGTAGGTAAAAAACATCTTGCAAGCTCTTTCTTGCAATAGAAATGTTACTTGCCAAAAATAGGGAAATGGGGGCAAGGTCAAATGACTGTCCCAAAGCCACTCAGCAAGTCAGTGGTGGCCACAGTCTTCCTGATCCCAAGCTAGCGATTCTCCCAAGAAATCACACTTGACTTTGGGGTGGGCCTCCTCTGTGTGAACCTAGTCCAGGACGTTGAAAGGGCACAGAACAAAGATCCTGGGGAGGAGGAGGAAGCTGGGGATGAAGGAGTTAAGGGGGCCTGGAGCCGGGATGGCTGAAGGCTATTAACAGACCAGTATGAGAGGATAAGGCCAGCAAGGGGCCTGGCTTTAATTAGGCCCCCAAGGCCATCTGGAGAACCAGACACTGGAGATGGGTTGGTTTTATGGGGGCAGATGGCATAAATTATAGGGGCATTAATGGGGTGGAGGGGTTCTTCCCACAGTGCTTCTGAAGGGAGTTGCATGGGGGGTCCTCTTCCCTAGCAGCCTGGGCCAATCCCCTCTGCTCCAGCCTCTGCTGTCTCCCTGCCAGCAGTACAATGCCCTCCACAAGAACTGCCCCCGGAGCCATCTGAGAGCACGCTCCAGCACTCAAAGGAAAGAGAGACCCTCTGCTGCCCAGACAGGAGCCACATCAGGACAGTGGCACTGCCTGGAGCCATCATATGATGGGTGACCCAACATCTGGCTCAACCAATCCTCAACAGCCAGCCAATGGAGAATGGTCATGGCCCATTTGTCTCCAAGTCAACTATAGGACTTGAACAGTCATCGGATCACACCCTGGATGGTGAGGGGCTTGGTGACCATCCTGTCCAAACATGTCAGCAGAAGCCTAGGGATACACAGCTAACTGACCCCAGTGCTGGACTTGAACCCTAGACTCCTCACACTTGAGCCAGTACATTTTCATGACCACTCACCATCATCACACAGCCTCTCTGGGTCTCAATCTTTTCATCTAACAATCGCTGTTTGGCCTCCCTCCCAGCTGAAATGGAATGAAACACCGACTGCAAAAGGCTTTGAAAAGTTAAAACCAGAACACAAGTGACTGCAGCATTATTGCAGTTTTGTGAGCAGAAGTTGGGGAGCCCATGGAGTTTCCCAGGAAGGGGCTAGTGGTTCTGCTCTGTGGAGGAGGCCAGCTGACGCCACTGGCCCTCACAGGCCCTCTTCATTTCAGCTCTGCTCAGGGACTCAGGTAGTGCTCAGCCTGAGCACAATCATTAGGAGGGTGGGTCATTCTGAAAACAAAAACCTCTCTTTGTTCTTCCAAAGCCCATCAAACATGATTTTCAGTCACACCACTGGGGGACTTATCCCCATCATTGTATCCCAGTCTTGCAAGGGATAGGAAGTAGGATGTGGGGAGCAGGGATGGAGAGTTGATAACCAATTCTTCCACCACTTTATATACAATCTTAGCTAGTCAGAAAACAACCGAAGCAATGTCTGGCAAGCTCGAGGTACATATCTCAAATGCAGCAATTTCTCTTCTAGAAATCTACCCCTCAGTTATATTAGCACAGATGTCTTTGTACAAGACTGTCCATTGCAGCTTTGTTTGTAATAACAAAGACTGAAAGCAACCTAAATGTCTCTTATTAGGGGATGGAGCAAATAAATTGTGGTACCCATACTATATAACACCAGGCAAAGAATGAAGTAGATTTATATGTGTATACAAATGCAGTCGATTTATGTTACATAAATATATTGTTACAAACAAGTCGTATATGGAACAGTGGAGATACTATGTTCCTGTTTATGCCCAAGAAAAGAAGGTACATGTAAAGCATAAGAAATTTCTGAATGATACCCAAATTCTGTTAATAGTAGTTGCCTGCAGGTTGAGAGACAAGTGACTTCCGGTTAAGAGGGACTTGCTTTTCATTATATTCCTATTTTAGAATATGTATATGTTCCACTTTTTCAGTTAAATGGAGAAAGAGAGTTAAAAAAAAAAGAAGTCTGTCTAGAAAAATAACTGCTTGGATGTAACCACATTTCTGCACTCCATCCACCTTCTGCCTTCCAAGTCTTGCCCCTGCTCCCTTGCACAGCTCTGACCCACTCCAGCCAATAAACCTCAGCTTTCACCATAGCCACAAGCCTTGGGGAAAGCTGCCCTTCATTCTGCAAGGACTGAGGCCTCCATGTCATGCCCAGCTGCAAGAAGACTCAAGGGTCCCTGTACGAGGATCTCAGATGCTTGGAAAAGGGGCGTTACCCCAGGTGACGCCCTTTGTGCAAGCCAAGGGGCTTGGTTTCCTATTAAGCCCGTGGAAGGAGTGGCAGTTAAACACCAAGCTTCAAAGAGTTGAGGATTTTCAAAAATCGCTTTTGGGAATCTGCAGCTTTTATTGGAGGTGTCAGACATTAACGAGGGCTCTGGATTATTCCCAGCCTGCAGAGCCCTCTCTTCCTGTCTTCTCCGCCCCCACTCATTCCAGCAACCAGCTTCCCTGCTTTGATGAATCAGGAGAGACTGAGAGTTCAAGGGGCTATTTCTGTCCCACTCTCAGCCCACCTTCTCCCCCTTTTGCTTCAAGAAGGTATGGAAGCTGAAAGGACCCAAGAAAGGGGAAGAGGGGAGTGAACCCAAGGGAAGGGCTGGGGAGCAGGTTCAGACAGAGGCAAAAGAATCCAGCCTTGCTTACTTGCTCCTCTGGAAACAGTTTCATGGCAAAGAATTAGGAATTCTGGAGCCGACCCTATGCCAGCTGGGATGAAACCCTCAACGCACAATCGCCCCCTCTGGGCAATGATCATGCTCTTAGATATTTTGAGATCCTTAAATGGAAGGAGTTGTAGGAACTCCATTTTGTCCAAATATGTAGTTACATATGAGCTTTTCTTGACCGCATTTTCAATGCTGGTTGAGGTCCCAGTCTTAGGATGTACCTAGTGAACATGAAAGGTAAGTGGCATATCCAAAACAAAGGGGCGCCTTCCAATTCACTTGGAACAGACAACACACTCAGACGTATTTGTGGAATGAATGCATGCATTCGTGTATGCATGAATGAATGAATGAACCTGTTTTATCTTTTATTTACAAAATGACATTAGATTAGATGTTAGAAATTAGACACTGGATTAGATTAGACATTTAGTTTAGACATTAGAAATTACTCCTGCTGGTTAGGGATTGGAATCTCTGAAAAGACTATACCATGAGTTGTTAAAGGAGAGATCCCCTGTCCTACTC